TTTGCAACTCTAGCTCTATTGCTGTGGTACCTACTGCTTACGGATGGCTTCTGTTGTCCGTCTTCATAAACAGCTACGCGCTTCTTACTAGCAATATAGGATGCGAAGGACATGCTCTCTATGTAACAAACCATGTCAGCGTGGGAAGAGGTGGTGCGAGGAGCATGTACAGAAATGTGAAAGAGACGGAATCAACCGAGGGTGCAAGAAGAGGGTGCAAGAAGAGGGTGCAAGAAGAGGGTGCAAGAAGAGGGTGCAAGAAGAGGGTGCAAGAAGAGGGTGCAAGAAGAGGGTGCAAGAAGAGGACTCAAGATGTTGATGCAAGGAATCAATTTAAGATGAAACGCGAGACGTCGTAAATTACTAACAGTTTGTACGCATGACCGTAGCATGACGAGGAAACAGTGCCTTCCTATGGGCAAGCAACAGCCTCGGCACCCTTCGTTGATATGCCACTTCACTACCGCTACCTGTTTTCTTTTTCTGTGACTGAAACAGCATGTTGTAGCAACCAAGCATCTCCGGATGAATCTTTGACGAAATACATTTCTTTATACATAACAAACAAACAGATACTAGTTAGACGAGACGTGCACTATACATTAAAACGCTCTTTCTTCAACTTCCACCAGTAGACTTCTCTGCTTCCTTCTCCCTTCTGGCAAGTTCAGCCCTTGCCCATTGCAAACCATCCCGTGCCAGTAGATGCCGGATTTCTTCGAGCTTCGAATGACCGGGCGGATAGAGTAAACCATGCACTTGCCCGGTCTCCGCTTCCGGCAGCTTCCCGCGGTTCGCCTTCCCCTCCCGGCTTCTCCTCGCGTGCTCGCCTGAAGCCCACCGATGCGATTCCCAAAACCCTCGACGCTGTGCCACGACAGCAACCCGTCGCGAGCCCATCCCCATGTGACTGGACCCATGTCCGTACACGCCTTCCGGGTACCCAGGCGGAATGGCCAACTTGGGTATCGGAGAGGGACGCGACGGACGAGGCGTGTGGGAAGGGTCCGGGGTTGCATCGGTGGTGTGATGTGGCGTTGCGTCGTCTAGCTCAAGTGGATTGCTAGTTTCGACATCAACGCCCCACCCTTCTGGTCCCGTACTTTGAGCTTCCGGGACCGGCGGCGCACTGAGCGCAAGGTCTTGGTCGCCGTGGGAGTGCGAAGCGCCGGCGTTGCTTCCATGCTCCCCGTGGATGTCCTCCAAATCCGTCACTGGAAGAGCGGGGCCAGTTGCAATCGGGCTCCACGACGGGCTCGGACCTGGGTTCCCCCCCGCTAGAGGCGTGTGCGGGGTTGGTCCAATGGCGCCGGTAGACCGTCGTAGAATAGAAATATCTGCACACTGCAGATACTCCTGTGGGAAGTTATCCCGATTGCAAACCTGGCGCCGTACGTTCACTCCACCCTCAGCTCCTCCCTGCCCCTTGCACTTCCCCCAGCGAGGCCCTTGTCCCCCGGTGAAGTATTCAACCATGCCCGGCGGATTACACCTGCTAGATGTTGTCCAAAACCACTGCAGAACGCAATGCTCGCAATGCAAGTGGCTTGGAAGGCGATACAACATCTTATTCCCGCCGAGGTACTGCCGCCCGTGCATCGTGTCGGGGTCGAACGGCGAGCAAGGCAAGTACCATCGACTGGGGTACTGCGGGTCAATCGGTGCGCATGCCCGGCTGCGACCATTGTCGCAGATCGCGTTCGGTTCCCGCTGCAGCTGTTGACAATGGCCGCTCCGAAAGCACTGCTCCGAGATTTCGCCCCCGCACTTCGAGACGTCACATACGTGGAACTCGAAGAACCCCCCATGGTGGAAACCAGGTTCACCTGCGCCGCCAAGATGCCACCCTGCACGTGCGTCTGCACGACCTTACCACCGAAGTAGTATTTCCCCCCGCGCAAGTGATCCTGCCGGGCCCCTTTCTGATCCCCGCAGACACCGGCCCTCCATACGAAATCCTTTTCCAGCGGTAGAAACGGATTCCAGCCCTTCTTTCCCGCCGCCTTCACCTGGGAAGCAACGGCAATCCCAGAAACTGCGGCCTTTTCGCCCGCCGGAAAATGGGCAAAAGGATCCCTCGGCGCCGATTCATTGATGCCCTTGGCAAATTTAGAGGTAGCCAGGGCACCGCGTTGGTTCGGAACGGCGAGGAGGGCGTGACCATGAGGATGATGGAGCAGCATGGATAGAAGGGCGAACCCAATCACGAAGACGAGTGCGTTAATAGACATGATTGCACAGCAGGGAAGAGGATGAGGGTTTGAGGGAGGGAGGGTGGATATGGATGTGGATGGATGGGGCTGTGAAGTGGTGCGGAAGGGTAGGAATTTGTTTGAGAGGAAAGGTAGGGCAGAATGAGAACGAGTTTTGCAAGGCTTGGTAGTTGAGAAGGAGAGTGTGAAGGGAAAGAGTTGGGAAAGAATTGAGTTATGCGAGCTTGGACATGAACCAAGTATAGACTGTCTGGTTTACGGGTGTAGCTGGCGATGTGTGGTAAATGCAAGTCACTGACAGGAAGGAGACAAGAGACTAGTGAGACTAGTGCTTCAAATACACGTACACGATACTTTGATGACTGAATCGAGTGTGTTGAGCTGATCCAGCCTACTACAAAGAGTTATCCGTGATCTATACCAGTGAATGTATAAACTGTACATAATACGGCACTGCATCACGGGGGTGTTGAACTGATTGTTGAACAGGTCGTTGAACTGGATGTTGAACAGGTTGTTGAACAGGTCGTTCAGAGTGTTGTTGAGCATGTTATAGAAGTATTGTAGAAAAGAGAATAAATACAAATAGAAAGCGGCTGGTTGAGGAGCTCGGGGGAAAGGTGACGTCGTCACCTTTCTATGCAAAGGGAGTGGAGGAAGAATTGAGTGGTGGAGGCGAGTTGGGTTCGGAGATTGCTCTGCACTTCACATCTTTCTTTTACCACACAGTGTCGGTCTGTCCGAGGCATGAGGACAACGCAATAGTGCATGAATCGGTTTTATCAAGAGATGAGACGTGAAGTCTGGGCAGCGCTTAATCCCTGCTGCTTTTCTGCATCACATTCTCATGGAAGGCTTATTCATGTGGTCCCGTGTGTACTATCCGTCTTTACGAGATGCACGTCCCATTACGTCCCATTATTTTAAAAGTTTTTATCTCCCCGCCGATTCATCAACAACCATAAACAGACTCACCTTGCACTGTACACTGATATTTCCGCCCCAGGAAGCATTCTTTTTATTCTTCTTCATCGCAAAAAAAAACAGAAAAATCCTTTCCATCCGTATCTACCTACACCTTTTCAGAATGCAATGATCTTCGAGTACCGCTTCCTCCATAGCTCCGCAGTGATCCATCCGTGCTCCATTCATTTTAATTCAGTTGGATAAAGATCAATTATCACGAGTCACAAAAAGTACTTTTTACAACAAGCTTTGTTCTCACATACTGTAGAATGAACTGCTGCATCTCTGTTGACGCACACGTTAGGTTATCTTCTGCTGAACCTGTGGCGCATGGACAGACAGAGTCACGTTGCGTTATGCACGTCATGAAATGTCCAGTTATGTACAGTGAATGCGAGCATTCAGAGACCGATTTTCCTAGAATCGCATCGATCACAGTCCTAGACGGTGTAACTGTACATGTTCTATCTCTAGAGAGGAAAGAAGTCGTTGTTTAACCTGGTATGAGCAGAGTGTGAGGTCAAAGGTTTTGCACAAAACGCAAATCCATTGCACCTTATTGCAAATAGTGAGTATTTCACAGTTATTGTGTTGTAGAATGTTATTGGACGTTCTAGAGCTAGAAGGTCTGCGTCCTTGTAGTGCACATGGGTGCGAGTTGTATGTTTGTTTCGCCTATTGTTTGGACAAGTCCAGAGCGTATTTAAGGCGGGCTTGATGTCTGACTCTAATAAAATTAATGCGGGTTGCAAATCGATGCGTGCTGCATTGCAACTCCTTCGACGGCTCCGACGTCGCCGCCGTAGTACAACTGGTGAGACGTCGGAGCCGGTGGCGGCTCCGACGTCACACCAGTAAAGCATCCGTCCCATCATGCATCTACAACTGGTGTTGTAGATGCATGAGGGGACGGCGAGGTGCCACGGCTGGAATCAGCAGTTCTGGATCGGAAAGAATTGGAAACCGCACACGTGTCCTCAATCACTAAGTGTACACGTGTACCTTAGTCCGCTCGCGCCGCCAAGGCGACTCTCCGTTAATCTCAACCATTCCCCGTCCCCACCATTCCCCGTCTGTTCCCGGTCCCCTTCCCTTGCATGTCTTCGATGCTGCTGGCGCGCGGCCGGATCTCGCCGAGACCGTGCTTTTTGCGTGGAGAAACGCTCGAAGATGCGAAGTATGCGAGCAACCGTGTGCGGGGGAACGTCATGGCTGTGCTGAGGTAAGTTGCACGGGTAGGTGGTAGAAGGTCTAGGGAGTAGCGCGAACCTTCTGAGAGACGAGAGAGAGTACTCGAAACGAGTGACAGGGGGCGTGTTTGATCGTGTGGTGTGCGCGCGCGCGGACGGCTTGAGGATCGATCGCAAGGTGCTGTGGAGGAAGAGCGTGGCCGTGCAGAGGCGTATCGTTAGGAGGGTGCTCAGGGAGGTGTTGGGCGTGAAGCAGCGGGGGCGAAGAGAATATAGGAGAAGGAGAAGGTCACTTCATAAGAGCACAAAAGGAAAAGCATTGTGAGCATCCGTTTGAGGATCGATCGCGAGGTGGTGTGGATGGAGAGCGTGGCCGTGCAGAGGCGTATCGTTAGGAGGTTGCTCAGGGAGATGTTGGTCGTGAAGCAGCGGGGGCGAAGAGAATATAGGAGAAGGAGAAGGTCACTTCATAAGAGCACAAAAGGAAAAGCATTGTGAGCATCCGTTTGAGGATCGATCGCGAGGTGGTGTGGATGGAGAGCGTGGCCGTGCAGAGGCGTATCGTTAGGAGGTTGCTCAGGGAAGTGTTGGGCGTGAAACAGAAAGAAAGAATTCTTTCTTCAACAAACGGATGCTCACCTTTTCCTTTTGTGCTCTTAGAAGTCTCGGAGTTTTAGAGATTGCGATGAAAGGATGGGAAGGGTGACTTGTAGTGTTGTAATGTGATAGAAATGCATGTGGTTGGTTACCTTTGCAACTGTTCATCTATTGTCGTAGTACGTACTGCCTGCAGATCGCTTCAGTTGTCCGTCTTCATAAACAGCTACGCGCTTCTTACTAGCAATATAGGATGCGAAGGACATGCTCTCTATGTAACAGGCCTTGCGAAGAGTACGCCAACCATGTCAGCGTGGGAAGAGGTGGTGCGAGGAGCATGTACAGAAATGTGAAAGAGACGGAATCAACCGTTGGAGACATGCATGAAACCGATGCAAGAAGAGGGTGCAAGAAGAGGGTGCAAGAAGAGGGTGCAAGAAGAGGGTGCAAGAAGAGGGTGCAAGAAGAGGGTGCAAGAAGAGGACTCAAGATGTTGATGCAAGGAATCAATTTAAGATGAAACGCGAGACGTCGTAAATTACTAACAGTTTGTACGCATGACCGTAGCATGACGAGGAAACAGTGCCTTCCTATGGGCAAGCAACAGCCTCGGCACCCTTCGTTGATATGCCACTTCACTACCGCTACCTGTTTTCTTTTTCTGTGACTGAAACAGCATGTTGTAGCAACCAAGCATCTCCGGATGAATCTTTGACGAAATACATTTCTTTATACATAACAAACAAACAGATACTAGTTAGACGAGACGTGCACTATACATTAAAACGCTCTTTCTTCAACTTCCACCAGTAGACTTCTCTGCTTCCTTCTCCCTTCTGGCAAGTTCAGCCCTTGCCCATTGCAAACCATCCCGTGCCAGTAGATGCCGGATTTCTTCGAGCTTCGAATGACCGGGCGGATAGAGTAAACCATGCACTTGCCCGGTCTCCGCTTCCGGCAGCTTCCCGCGGTTCGCCTTCCCCTCCCGGCTTCTCCTCGCGTGCTCGCCTGAAGCCCACCGATGCGATTCCCAAAACCCTCGACGCTGTGCCACGACAGCAACCCGTCGCGAGCCCATCCCCATGTGACTGGACCCATGTCCGTACACGCCTTCCGGGTACCCAGGCGGAATGGCCAACTTGGGTATCGGAGAGGGACGCGACGGACGAGGCGTGTGGGAAGGGTCCGGGGTTGCATCGGTGGTGTGGTGTGGCGTTGCGTCGTCTAGCTCAAGTGGATTGCTAGTTTCGACATCAACGCCCCACCCTTCTGGTCCCGTACTTTGAGCTTCCGGGACCGGCGGCGCACTGAGCGCAAGGTCTTGGTCGCCGTGGGAGTGCGAAGCGCCGGCGTTGCTTCCATGCTCCCCGTGGATGTCCTCCAAATCCGTCACTGGAAGAGCGGGGCCAGTTGCAATCGGGCTCCACGACGGGCTCGGACCTGGGTTCCCCCCCGCTAGAGGCGTGTGCGGGGTTGGTCCAATGGCGCCGGTAGACCGTCGTAGAATAGAAATATCTGCACACTGCAGATACTCCTGTAAGAAGTTATCCCGATTGCAAACCTGGCGCCGTACGTTCACTCCACCCTCAGCTCCTCCCTGCCCCTTGCACTTCCCCCAGCGAGGCCCTTGTCCCCCGGTGAAGTATTCAACCATGCCCGGCGGATTACACCTGCTAGATGTTGTCCAAAACCACTGCAGAACGCAATGCTCGCAATGCAAGTGGCTTGGAAGGCGATACAACATCTTATTCCCGCCGAGGTACTGCCGCCCGTGCATCGTGTCGGGGTCGAACGGCGAGCAAGGCAAGTACCATCGACTGGGGTACTGCGGGTCAATCGGTGCGCATGCCCGGCTGCGACCATTGTCGCAGATCGCGTTCGGTTCCCGCTGCAGCTGTTGACAATGGCCGCTCCGAAAGCACTGCTCCGAGATTTCGCCCCCGCACTTCGAGACGTCACATACGTGGAACTCGAAGAACCCCCCATGGTTGGAAACCAGGTTCACCTGCGCCGCCAAGATGCCACCCTGCACGTGCGTCTGCACGACCTTACCACCGAAGTAGTATTTCCCCCCGCGCAAGTGATCCTGCCGGGCCCCTTTCTGATCCCCGCAGACACCGGCCCTCCATACGAAATCCTTTTCCAGCGGTAGAAACGGATTCCAGCCCTTCTTTCCCGCCGCCTTCACCTGGGAAGCAACGGCAATCCCAGAAACTGCGGCCTTTTCGCCCGCCGGAAAATGGGCAAAAGGATCCCTCGGCGCCGATTCATTGATGCCCTTGGCAAATTTAGAGGTAGCCAGGGCACCGCGTTGGTTCGGAACGGCGAGGAGGGCGTGACCATGAGGATGATGGAGCAGCATGGATAGAAGGGCGAACCCAATCACGAAGACGAGTGCGTTAATAGACATGATTGCACAGCAGGGAAGAGGATGAGGGTTTGAGGGAGGGAGGGTGGATATGGATGTGGATGGATGGGGCTGTGAAGTGGTGCGGAAGGGTAGGAATTTGTTTGAGAGGAAAGGTAGGGCAGAATGAGAACGAGTTTTGCAAGGCTTGGTAGTTGAGAAGGAGAGTGTGAAGGGAAAGAGTTGGGAAAGAATTGAGTTATGCGAGCTTGGACATGAACCAAGTATAGACTGTCTGGTTTACGGGTGTAGCTGGCGATGTGTGGTAAATGCAAGTCACTGACAGGAAGGAGACAAGAGACTAGTGAGACTAGTGCTTCAAATACACGTACACGATACTTTGATGACTGAATCGAGTGTGTTGAGCTGATCCAGCCTACTACAAAGAGTTATCCGTGATCTATACCAGTGAATGTATAAACTGTACATAATACGGCACTGCATCACGGGGGTGTTGAACTGATTGTTGAACAGGTCGTTGAACTGGATGTTGAACAGGTTGTTGAACAGGTCGTTCAGAGTGTTGTTGAGCATGTTATAGAAGTATTGTAGAAAAGAGAATAAATACAAATAGAAAGCGGCTGGTTGAGGAGCTCGGGGGAAAGGTGACGTCGTCACCTTTCTATGCAAAGGGAGTGGAGGAAGAATTGAGTGGTGGAGGCGAGTTGGGTTCGGAGATTGCTCTGCACTTCACATCTTTCTTTTACCACACAGTGTCGGTCTGTCCGAGGCATGAGGACAACGCAATAGTGCATGAATCGGTTTTATCAAGAGATGAGACGTGAAGTCTGGGCAGCGCTTAATCCCTGCTGCTTTTCTGCATCACATTCTCATGGAAGGCTTATTCATGTGGTCCCGTGTGTACTATCCGTCTTTACGAGATGCACGTCCCATTACGTCCCATTATTTTAAAAGTTTTTATCTCCCCGCCGATTCATCAACAACCATAAACAGACTCACCTTGCACTGTACACTGATATTTCCGCCCCAGGAAGCATTCTTTTTATTCTTCTTCATCGCAAAAAAAAACAGAAAAATCCTTTCCATCCGTATCTACCTACACCTTTTCAGAATGCAATGATCTTCGAGTACCGCTTCCTCCATAGCTCCGCAGTGATCCATCCGTGCTCCATTCATTTTAATTCAGTTGGATAAAGATCAATTATCACGAGTCACAAAAAGTACTTTTTACAACAAGCTTTGTTCTCACATACTGTAGAATGAACTGCTGCATCTCTGTTGACGCACACGTTAGGTTATCTTCTGCTGAACCTGTGGCGCATGGACAGACAGAGTCACGTTGCGTTATGCACGTCATGAAATGTCCAGTTATGTACAGTGAATGCGAGCATTCAGAGACCGATTTTCCTAGAATCGCATCGATCACAGTCCTAGACGGTGTAACTGTACATGTTCTATCTCTAGAGAGGAAAGAAGTCGTTGTTTAACCTGGTATGAGCAGAGTGTGAGGTCAAAGGTTTTGCACAAAACGCAAATCCATTGCACCTTATTGCAAATAGTGAGTATTTCACAGTTATTGTGTTGTAGAATGTTATTGGACGTTCTAGAGCTAGAAGGTCTGCGTCCTTGTAGTGCACATGGGTGCGAGTTGTATGTTTGTTTCGCCTATTGTTTGGACAAGTCCAGAGCGTATTTAAGGCGGGCTTGATGTCTGACTCTAATAAAATTAATGCGGGTTGCAAATCGATGCGTGCTGCATTGCAAATCCTTCGACGGCTCCGACGTCGCCGCCGTAGTACAACTGGTGAGACGTCGGAGCCGGTGGCGGCTCCGACGTCACACCAGTAAAGCATCCGTCCCATCATGCATCTACAACTGGTGTTGTAGATGCATGAGGGGACGGCGAGGTGCCACGGCTGGAATCAGCAGTTCTGGATCGGAAAGAATTGGAAACCGCACACGTGTCCTCAATCACTAAGTGTACACGTGTACCTTAGTCCGCTCGCGCCGCCAAGGCGACTCTCCGTTAATCTCAACCATTCCCCGTCCCCACCATTCCCCGTCTGTTCCCGGTCCCCTTCCCTTGCATGTCTTCGATGCTGCTGGCGCGCGGCCGGATCTCGCCGAGACCGTGCTTTTTGCGTGGAGAAACGCTCGAAGATGCGGAGTATGCGAGCAACCGTGTGCGGGGGAACGTCATGGCTGTGCTGAGGTAAGTTGCACGGGTAGGTGGTAGAAGGTCTAGGGAGTAGCGCGAACCTTCTGAGAGACGAGAGAGAGTACTCGAAACGAGTGACAGGGGGCGTGTTTGATCGTGTGGTGTGCGCGCGCGCGGACGGCTTGAGGATCGATCGCAAGGTGCTGTGGAGGAAGAGCGTGGCCGTGCAGAGGCGTATCGTTAGGAGGGTGCTCAGGGAGGTGTTGGGCGTGAAGCAGCGGGGGCGAAGAGAATATAGGAGAAGGAGAAGGTCACTTCATAAGAGCACAAAAGGAAAAGCATTGTGAGCATCCGTTTGAGGATCGATCGCGAGGTGGTGTGGAGGGAGAGCGTGGCCGTGCAGAGGCGTATCGTTAGGAGGTTGCTCAGGGAGATGTTGGTCGTGAAGCAGCGGGGGCGAAGAGAATGTAGGAGAAGGAGAAGGTCACTTCATAAGAGCACAAAAGGAAAAGCATTGTGAGCATCCGTTTGAGGATCGATCGCGAGGTGGTGTGGATGGAGAGCGTGGCCGTGCAGAGGCGTATCGTTAGGAGGTTGCTCAGGGAGATGTTGGTCGTGAAGCAGCGGGGGCGAAGAGAATATAGGAGAAGGAGAAGGTCACTTCATAAGAGCACAAAAGGAAAAGCATTGTGAGCATCCGTTTGAGGATCGATCGCGAGGT